GCACACCATCATCTCTTATCTCTAAAGTCGAGCCTGCTTGTCGATACAACGTCCCTGAGACTATTTGTTCCTGGAGCTGGATGTTACTTGCTTCAAAGCACAAACAAACAAACCAAAGAAAAAAAAAGCTAATGATTACATTTCAGAAATACTTCTGCTCAGAGTAAAATATTACTGAGGCAGTCTTGGAAGAATAAACTGAGTTTTACTGAAATAAAATGAATGAAACCAGAGTTTGTTTTTATACATGAAGGTAATAAAAAGACCAGTAAATGTTTACTACACAGTTGTGCTATTTTAAATTTGCTGTTTTAGAGAAAACTCTTTTTTATTTTAAATAGAATTATTTACATAAAGCAACAGGTTTCATCAACAGGTTCATTTTAGATTTTAAAACATGCAAATGATGCCTTTTACTCCTTTGGATACAAAGAGGTTTGGCTTGGATGGCAGTCAAAGAGTTTGAAACTTTAACAAATCAGGCATAAGATGTGATAAAAAGAAATCCAGCTACTCAGAGGAGCAAAAATTATGGAGACTGTTACCAACCTCCCTCAATTCGTATCAAGATGCTGACATTTTCTACATTGTTCACATTATCAGTGTAAAACTACAGCAAAAAGCTGTGGTCTTGAAGTGAAAGGTTAAGGCCTTGAAGTAAGGTTGGAGCAGGGTTATGGTGGACTTATTTAGTGGGCATCTCCTTTGATAGCATAAGTTTTAACATTATGGGGGTTTACATATAGAACCGAGTGTAACCTTTATTCGGTTACACTTGGTTACATGTCACTTCTTTTGCTCATATCACGGTGAAAGAAGCTAGTGGAGCTATTGTTGCTGCTGGTAGCATCCCACCAAGGTGGTAAAGTGGGTAAAGTGCAGGTTCACTTCCAGTTTAACACCTTACTCCAATGTTTAAAAAAAGATTTACAGTCAGTTCAAGGGGTTAACATGCACATATCAGCACAGAAACATGCACACAACACTGCCGTAATAAAATGCTATCATGATAATGACAGTGTTGTGGAGATATGTGAAGCTGTTACTGTGAGGGTTGCAACAACAACAAAAAAAATCTCTGTCTTTGGTTTGCTGACAATTCCAGGAGGTTTTCTAAGAGGGGAGTGATGAAGGGAGACCAACAACCAGTTTTCTTAGACGTGGCCTGGAAATCACTGAGCTCCATTCCAGGTTTTGTGCAATG